GAAAACGAAGTCGTAGAGCAAAACTGACTACGGCATTCGATTCTACAGACAAAAATACGTAAGAAAATGTATTGTCGATATTATTTTTACTCTCGAAACACAGTTTGAAATAAATTGAATGGTTGGCCGATTTTGCTCCTATTTTGGACCACGTTTTTAAACTTCAAAAATCGATCGACACCGGTTCCCGACACTTTTTTGAGGTTCTGAACCCGGCTTTCTTTTCGTAAAGACTTGAACTTTAAGAATCGCCATGACGTATACGCGATTTTCAACATTTTTGCAAAAGCGAACCACCCTAATGTGTAGTTATCGATAAATTAGGAGTATCGACGTATCGACCTGCCAAAGTGTCCTGGCTATACCATGCTCTCTTGATGATCTTGTCTATGTGTATGTGTGAATGTGTGTACATTAGTCGCGATCTCTCGAGCCAGACGAGTATCGAAGGTATCGTTGTGTCGGGGAATGTATGTGATATATTTCCCGTCACAAAGTCTACATCGGCCCATGGACGCAAAAAAACGTGTCAGACCTATAGAGCAAGTCTGTTTCGACTCGAAAATTCGGATCAAATCAAATTTTTTTTCAAAAAAATCGTGTTTTTTATTGTTTGATTGTTCACAACTTTTACACATCAACTTTTTTGACAATTCTGACCCCGGATTCGAAAAGTTCATAAAATTTTACGTCGGTTATGACTATTCTGACATTTCTCACATAATTTTTTCAGAGTTGAATTTCAGATGTTGAATGAAAAAATAATTAAAATTTCGTCCGTTTGGCCAAAAACGGGTTAAAATTTATCAAAGAAATGCCCCAAATTTTTTCAGAATTTTCGGAGACGACTTTCAATTTTCCGACAATTCGTCGAGTGCAATCTCTTAAAAAATCTCAAAAAATTCTGAAAATATTTGAGAATGTTTCTCGATAAATTTGGAGATTTTCTTATTCCATAAACTTTTTCTCTAATTTGTTTTTGAGTAAAAAATTATATTATTCTCCTACGTACATGTATTTCTTGCATGATAATATACATTACACTCGTGCCCGACTCCCGTGGCACACTTATCCGCCATTGAAAAAAGACGGGCAATTGTGACAAATTTTTTTAAATTCAATAGAAAATTGAGATTTCATTGTAATTTTCCAATTTTAATATATGTTATAGAGCTTGAGCTCCCCTTTGCAATGGACGTTTCAGATTTGAAAAATTTTAAACATTCGCTTCAGGAAGCAAGTTTGAAGTTATGGTGTCACTCATGCCGGTCTCTCCCCTATGTTTTACAACAAACATACCTGCTTCAGTGGGGGCAACATTTTTTTTTATCTTCCGCTCGCAAACAAATTAATGGACGGTCCTGATCACGCGCTCCAGACGTTGGTATAGCTGCCGCTCGATCGAGACGAGAGAAGAACGCAGAGTGTCGAGTCGCGCGTGCCAGCTGTATAGACGAACGAATTCATCTTTTTTTCTTGCGTTTCGTTCCAGGCCACGTCTCCCCATAGGCAGAAGAAAAGAAGAAAGTAAGAAGAAGAAGGAGAGACAAGCATTTGCCGAGAACAATTGGATTCGTCAGCCTCATAGCCAGGCGTGGTCACGTCCCCTCTTCTCTTTTAAAAGAAAAAGAAGAAGGCGAGAGAAAATCATGTTTGTTTCTCTTTTTTTTTCTCATTCTCGACGACGACCACGACGACGAGGAAACGCAAACCAATAAAAATAATCTGCGCGATACACCAAAAACAGCGTAAGAAATTGTGCGCACATCAATTTCAGGTAGAGAGGCGACAAAATGTCGGTGTGTGCACGCAATCGACGTCGCAGCCGTCAAAGAGTTTCAATGTGAAACGTGTATGAAAAATTATAATTCGCCATTTAAAGTATCCCAAATAACACTATCAAATAATATTATTAAGAAAATTTGGCGAAAACCTTCCCGTACGCGCTCATACACTGTTGAAAATTTACTGAAACTTAATTGTTCGACACATTGATCAGAATTCACGCAGAAATTAATGAAACTTCATTATATTTTTACAAACATTTTTAGAAAATACTTGAAATTTTAATAAATTAAAATGAATTATTTTGAGTTGACTTTAGTGAAAATTAATAAACTTATGATGAATTTTACTGTAGATTTAAAAAAAAATCTGATAAGTATTCAATTTTTTCATTAAAAAAATTCATTTTTTAATAAATAACTCATCGATTTTTAATTTTTTTTATGAAAAATTATTCACCTTAAAATCAAAATAAAAAACAGTGTTAAATTGCTGAATTTTCAACTCAAGCATATTAATTTTCAGCAATAAATTGTTAAAATTTATTCAATCATTAACCTTTTTTACGAAGTTTTATAAATATATTTTCATTTGTCGACGGATTATTCTGTATTAGGAAATGTCTCATGAAAATTAGATGTATTTTAATGAATATGCACAAATGTACTTGAAATTCATATTAGTTCATAAGAATAATATTCAAAATGTAGTTAAATGAAAATTAATATACTAATCATGAATTTTATCATAGTTTTTACAAATGCTCATAAAAAGTATAAATAATTATTTTTTCATGAAACTAATTTCCAATCACCTTTTTTTAGCAAAACGGCATCCTCGAAGTTAATTGTTTATACAATAATCCAACTATTTTTTCATTGCAAAAACGATTGATTTGTGTAAAAAAGTTTATAGAATGAATAAGTTGTAAAATTAATCAAAGAATATTCGTAAATTTTTTCAATATTTTTGGAGACGATTGTTCATTTTCCGAAAATTATGGAAAATCTAATTTTCTAAGGTCATCTCCAAAAATTCTGAAAAAATTTAAGAATTATCCTCTGAGCTCGATTTTTTTCGAATAAAAAATTCTTTTTGATTATTTTAGAGATTTTGTGTTGTAAAAATTTGAATCATAGCTAAAAAGTTAGACTTACATGTTTATGTATTAAACTTTTTTCATCATTTTTCAGTTCATAAACAAATTACGTGTATTTACAATATACGCGCATAGAGTAACAAGTATGAGCAACCTACTTTTCTAGTGCGCTCTTCTTGCCCCGAGCCCAGTTACTCTTACCCACGCTGGGGCAAGAAGCACTGATTTCAACGTCTTCTTTATTTTGCTTGTCATTTAATAAATATGAAAAAATTATGACTTTTGACTATTGCATTGTATTCATTAACTGCTCAGCTTGATATCTGTAGGTTCAAAATATCATTTTTTAACACTGCGTGCGCGAAACACGGGTTTTCTAACCTTAAAGCGTCAGAAAACCCTAGTTTCTCGCAAGCAGAGTTAAAAAATATCCTTTGCAACTAGTCCGCGAGGAAGTTGACTCACCCTGGAGTCTTTGCACCCTCGCTACGCTCGGGTGAAAACAACTCCTGGGTGAGTCAACTGCTTCGCGCACTTGTTACAAAATATACTATTTTTTTATTGTAACCATTATTTTCAATATTTTATCTAAGTGAGTCTACGTGCCCCGCTTTCCCCTACTTGAAAAAATATCTAATATCATATTTCAAAAAATGTTAAATTGGAAATATGAACAATACTCGATTTCATTTTCAAGTTTTAAAGCTGCCTTTGTTATTTCAGATCTGAATTACGCATCAATAAATTAAAATTAAAATTAAAATTCTTCAAGCATAAAAAGTACATTTCAAATTGCGCAAGTAAATAATAATATGTATTTCATCAATCGTTTTTCATAATTATCAAACTTTTTCGGGTTCCACATAAGTTTTGAGAAAACCTTGGATCGATAGTAAATATTGTAAATATAGAGCAAGATATTTCCTATTCTTATAGGCCTCTTATTATTCTTTGTGAGTTCAGCCGTCTCTATCATCGCTTTTCTCTAATTAATACTATCTCAAATTAAATCTACTGTACTTGCTTTTATTTTTTACGACTCATTACTTCATCTCAAATACAAATAATGTAAGTGTAATAAATAAGAAAGTATAGCCAGCGAATAAATGTGCGCCACCAGAAATACGCGACGGTAAGACGTGTTGCAGTAGTCGCCGGGAACGAATCGGCGCAATATGATTATCAGCTTACAGACAACATCGAGCTCAGAAAAAAATCTAAATTCTCACTTGCTCGATGTAAGGATTTGGTTTTCTTTGCGATTCAAATGAATTTTAAATTTTATTACAAAAACGTCTTCAAAATAAGACTTTTACTTATTTTAGTATATTAGTATATTAGTATTTAATTAAAAATAAGTTTTACAGCGAATGCAATAATTGAGATTAATAAAATACAATCGTAATGCGCATATTGAATTATTAACAATTATTTTTATTGTTAACGAATATTTTTACTGTATTTACGGTATGAATATGATAATTTCAATTGAAAAGCTACAGAATTGTACGAACACGTTCAACTTTTGTTTCAAATAGCATGAATTTTTTTGTATAAATTAGCACAATTGAAACTAGTCTATAGAGTAATTAAACTATCAGTAAATGAAAAATTAATTAGTTATTGAAAACTAAGTACATCCAATACTTTTCCGTATTATAATAGGAATAAAATATTGTGTTTGTCAATACAATGAAAATTAAGAGATTTCTTGAAAAGTCATCGAAATTTGTATTGTTTATGTAACTCTGTCCATTGTCAAAATAATTTGATTATTGTTCTTTCAAAGAGCATAGCAAAAGTAGCACAATCATCTTTCAATTGAAATTCATGCTTTGCTCCGTCGATAAAATGAATTTAATATTTCAATGAGATTATTGTAATTAATATCGGTAGCTTGTAAATTGTCATTTAGCTGAAAGTACGAATATGATATTAATTTACTGAACGAGAAAGAGTGTATCTTCTCTAAGTTCTACAAAAAATAAAAGTTGATTCAATTTTGATTTTTTTGATCGTAATAAGATTGAGTTCGAGAAGTTTCATAAAATTATAAACAATTTATTATATTTCAAATACATTTTTATAAGATAAATAAACTATAATAAAATAGTTATATATATAATTATAATACACGTATAAAAGTGCAATACAAATTCGTCAAATGCGATTTCAGTTAATTACGGCCAGTGCCTAATATAAATGTATGAATTGTTTTCAGACGGGATTTTTAAGCTCAATTAATGAATGAATGATATATCCTAACATAATCATAGTACGAAATACTGAATGAATGAGCGAATGAACATCTCTCGCGAGCTCGATCGAAACGCGCTTATGGCCAGACGTCGGTACAGATTTCAACGCGTTCGCGACTCGCCGCGGGCCGCCGACGAGCGCAGTTAAGCTTGAACGTGCTCCAATTTGTAGACGTCGTGGTAGGCGTTGCGTATGAGCGCGTACGGGAAGCAGCTCTCGAGCAGGTCCATGGTGAGGAAGGGCGACTCCTGGACGATCTGGTCGAGCAGCAGATAGACGGACTCGCGATTGCGCGTCGCCTCGCGGTCCGGATCCTGGCCGAGTCGCAGCAGGCTCGACGAGGCCAGCGCCAGGAACTCCTTCATGCGGTCCTCGATGTCGTTCTGGCCGCAGAGCGTGAACAGAGCGCCGAACACGTTGTTGATGGCGGTGGCCATGCAGTGTATGTTGTTGGCGTGGCCCTCGAGCGAGGCCCGATAGAACGAGCTCTCGTTGCGCGCCAGCTTGGGTATGGACACGGCGACGAACACCATGAGCAGACAGACGAGCACGTGCTCGTCCTCGTCGAGCTCCGTGGGCTGCGCCGGCGCCGTGGAGTTCTTCAGGATGCCGCCGCTGCAGCTGGTGCGCAACGCGGCCGTGAGGGCCGGATCGACCTTGCAGCCGAGCCCGGCCGCCGAGGTCATCTCGGCGACGACGCGCACCGGCTCGCCGCTCGGCATCGGATGGCCGAAGTCCTGGATCGAGCTCAGCAGGAAGGGTATGCGCTCCTCGAGTACGTCGACGAGGGCGTCCTGGGCCAGCTGACGGAAGCTCAGTATGACGCCTATAATGCCGAAGCGTTGCAGTACATTGTCGACGTGCTGCAGACGTTTGAATTGCTCCTTCATGACCTCGGGCTTGTCGAAGTTGGTGCGCAGCGAGATGAGCACGTCCTTGTTGGAGGCGACGAGCTTTCTCAGCTCCTGCACCTGGCTGGCGATGTGCCACATGAGCGTCTCGTTCAGCATCTTCATGCCGTACGGGCCGATAAGCTCGGCGAGGGCGCGCAACTCGTTGACGTCGGAGAACTCCTCCGCGTTGAACGGTATCGTGCCCTCGACCGAGAGTGACACGAACGAGCGCTGATTGGCCGAGTAGCAGATGTTGCCGGCGCTGACGCGCCTCAGCAGCACCTCGGAATACCATTGCGTGTACAATGCGGCAATGGTCTTCTCGCCGTGGCTGTCGAGCGCCTGTGTTTGCTGCAGCAGGGCGTTGTTGAACACACGAGTGATGTCGATGTGCACGTAGTTCTCGACCGTCTGCAAGACATTCATGTAGGCGCGGACGCTGACGAACAATTCCGAGGGCTTCGCGATGGCGTTGGTGTCCGGGTCGAACATCACCATGCCCACGAGCGCACGGGCGAATCGCGTCTCCAGGTGCTGGTGCAGGTACTCCCGAGGCGCGAAGGTGTACTCCCAAACGTTGATCGTCGGATTGTAATTGATGGCGTAGCACAGCTCCGTCAGGGCCATGTGCAGCTTGTCCATCGTGGTGAGCTCCTCGCGGGTCTTCCGATAGCTCTCCGAGCCCGGCTTGCGTATCTCCATCATGTTCTTCTTGTTCTTGTCCTTCTTCTTGCGATTGACCACCTGCGAGATGAGCGCGGCGCAGTGTTTGGGCAGCAGCTTGTCGCTCATGCTGCACTGCTTGTCGCAGATCGTCGTGATGATGTTCTTCGCCTCCTTGGCCATCTCGTCCAGAAACATGTTCACCACGGAGAGCGAGCGCTCGCGTATGTGATGCCGCTCCTCGGGGCAGAGCTCGTGCGTGCAGCTCTGAAAGTGGCTGCAGATCAGCGGGAAGGCGATGATGAAGCGATTCTGCGCCGGAAATTCCAGACACATGTGGAACTGGTCCTCGAAGATTTTGCTGTAGAAGCAGAAGATCGACAGGTCGGATGTCTCCACCAGGACGTCGTCCAAGCTGTCGACCATCTTCGTGTGGAAGACTGTGGTGTCCATGAACGACGCCAGTTCTCGGTTATCGGCGAGTTTCATGCTGCTCTTGGCTATCGACAGGTACGCTTGCAAGCGGAACCAGTCGAGCCTGAATGGCCTGAAGTCAAAGAGTTCGTTCTCCTCCACTTGCTTGACCGTGAGACTGGCTATGGTCGAGCACATGTCACTCATTATTGCACCTTCTTCTTCTGGACATATTGGCAAATTCTGAATCATCTGATGCATTGCGGGTGCATCAAAGCCTGACAAAAATTGTACATAGTATCTCTGCAGAACCTGAAATATAAACATCGCATGTAAGTGAAACATGAATAGATTTTTGTGAAAATTGTACAAACTTCATCTTTTCAATTTTATCTTACCTGAGAATATTTTCTCACAAGAGCCCTAAGCTCTTCACAATGGAATAATAGCTCGGGTAGCTGACGATCTACTAAATCTTCACCACCTCTTCCTTTGCCTTTGCCTTGATTTGGTGGATTATCTCCATGTCGTAAAAGCCACAATACTTCATCTCTGGCATGAGACAGTCCCATCAATACTAAAAGAACTTTTGGCCCCAAAAGTCCTGGTTGATCAGTTAAAATTAAACCTAGCTCCTTCAATGCAGTTCTCAAAAATTTTCTTCTCTCTCTATGCTTATAACCAGCTTTTTGAACCGCTTGATTGTAACAATCTTTAACTTCTGACACCCTTTTACCGTAACCTTTGATTGATTCAAAAAATGCTTGTATATATTGGTGTATATAAATGACCTCATCTCTGAAAAGAGCTAAAACCCACCCTGACTCTAAAGCTATTGTCCATAATTTACTGGGTTGTTCTTGATTCAAAATATTATGACAGAGAGTGAAGCCAAGAATGATCCATCTTTCAATTCTGTCTAAGCTCAAAGTTTCACATGACATTGTATCTGTTGCAGATGCCTTTAAAATTTGTCCAGGACTGCCCACTAAACTCAACTTTTGATCCGTTCTCCAAGCATCAGCGGATGCATTCCGGCCTGGATAAATAGGCCAGAGAGATAGCAAAGCATTTTTCAAAATTTTGGCATGAGGCACAAATTCTTCAGAGAGCTTCTTCAGCGGTGAATCATAGTCCATAATCATTTGGCCCAGTCTGGGAAAACTAGGATCCGACTGGCTGTGTACCATTTCGTGGGCAGCATTGAAAAGGCCCAGGACAGCCTTGCGATCCTCGACCCTCGACAACAGGATCATCAAACTGATGTAAGTGACAACGAGATCTAGATAATTTTTGGTCAAATCGAAGTTGATGCTTATGTCCATGTAGACTCCACAAGCATCGATGTTTGTCAGTAGCTCGCAAACATTGTCTTTGAAGTCTAGCAAATCTACAAAAGTGTAGTAATAAAGCGACAGAGACTTGATGATCTCGTTCTTGATATTGGTGATGGTTTGAAGGCCCTTGATGTCGATGTTGGGAAACTTCCTGACGATCGTCTTGATGGACGACTCGAGGGTCTTGTCGGACAGGAAACCGGGTTTGGATTTGGCATCGCCGCAAGCTTTCTTGATGTTGTAAATACGGGTGAGCATACCGGTGCCGCGGTCATTGAGAATTATGAGCTTCTCTGCCAGCTTCTGCTGACTGGGACTGAGCGGCCGCGCCATGACTACTGCTGTGCCGTTGCTGTGCTTTGGTAAATTTCGCTGCGAAGATCGCGGACGTTGGCTGTTATATTATGCGTAGACGTGGTGTGCGGATTCGTGTGGCAGATAATGGGGCTTATCTCATTTCGGAGGCCAAACACTGTGTGCTACTGGCTGGTTGGCTTGCTGCAATTCGTAGGGCTTCTAGAGCATGTAGGCTATCGGTGTCATCCGACGACAGCGACCGCACCCCGCGTTTGACTGTGAAGAAAGAAAGGATGAAAACGTGCACGGCTAGAAAAATGTTGAACTCTCTCGTGGTACTCACGCGTAAAGCAAAAAGTCGACCGCACTGACAGATTCACATGTTTCTTCGAGTTTTATGGTAAACATCGAGCACTATACACTAAACATGCATGAGTGTGTATTACCATATACAATATAACATAGACACGAAACTACTGCACTAGTGTGTAAATTGCACTGGCAAATACTGATCTGTACACCATATACCTATATGATCGACGACACTACACAGCAGCGGTTCGTGTATAATTACTCATTGCAGCCCGAGGAAGGGGAAATAGGAGTCTCGGCGGAGAGCCGAAAGAGGAGTGAATGTTTATGTGTGTTTGTGTACACGCATACACAACAACGTCACAACAGTGTGTGTAACATACATCATGGTCCGGAGAGCATCTGCTGCCGTCTGCGGCGACTGCGAAGCGACAAGACCGCACGGCATCCACTGCTTCGAACGAGAGTCGTGGGTGGCGAATGGAACGCGGTTTGAAGTCGTGTTTACGTCTTGATTACAGTTCTGAAAAAAAGTTTGAACGATTGGAAAAAAAATGTTCGTAAAAATCGATACTAAATAAAACGCAAGATTTTTAGTTCAATTCGATTGAATAAAAATAAGTTTCAAAAAAGTACGTCAATGTTCGTTTTCTAAAGATCCGCACACATATTGACAGTCAGTGACGCCGTTCCAGTGACGTGTGAATGATTTTTTGTCATTTTGAATTCGATCGGACCTTCTTTTTTAAATAATCAGTGTCACTGTCAGCTTAAAATTCAATTACATTAAGATTTAATAAAAAGAACTTTGAAAGTTTAGTTTTCTCCGTTTGCTAATTGACTCAATATTTTATAAAAAAAAAGTTTAGTTACTCAAATCTTTTATTCTCATTCGGGAGAATAATTTTGTCATTACCGGTAAAAGATAAGAATATTTTAGCAATTTCTGCCAATGTCAAAAAATTAAGATAGTCAAAACAAAAAAACAGCACGACTCGATAAGTGTCAAATCATTTCGAAAGAAATAGCAAAATGTCATTCGCCGTAAAATCGTAATAATTTCAAATTATAGACGGGTTTCCCAAACGCGATTGTTTTTTAACGACAGTTCGAACGTCGAACAAAGGGTTCGTTTCGCGCGATGCACTGGTAGACCGCGTCGAGTCTATCTATAACCGTTAAACAACAACACAATATATAGGAGCTGAAAAGCGAGATATAACGAAGAGAGTCGAGATTTCGGAGTAGCGCATCATCATCATCATCATCGTGCTACAGCAACAACAACAACAACAACAACAACAGCAACAGCAGCAGCGCAGCGTAAAGCAGTACTGTCTATACAAGCGCGATCCACCTCCACCATCGTCAGCTCTCTCGTTTGCTCTTTGTGCTGCGTCGTCGTAGTCGTACAATACAGAATATAATAGGCTCAAGCAGCGAGTTCACGCAGCAGCAGCGATCCATAGCCTATAAGTATATTCCGTATCTACATGTGTGAAGTCTCTTCGCGGAGTTCTCTCTCTCTTTGCCTCGTCTCTCGTGTCTCGACGCGCACAGCTTTGTAACAGACACATATATATAGGCTCAGCTGTCACGTATACGATACAGCACCAGTGTATAACGTGCGCAAATTGTGTGCTGCTGCTGCGCTGCTGCTGTTGTCTGAGTATGCTTTAAACGTGTGAGTGCAACCATATATATATATATATATATATACATTTAATATATAGAGAAATTCGACGTATAGTAACGCACAGTGCAGCTGCTTCTCGTGTGTGCATACTTTATATACTATAGAGAGCCTCGTGCGGAGTGGTGTTGGCGATACTTTTAACAAAGACAGAGAGACGACGGCGGACGGACGGCGCAGTCGAGACGGGCACAGCGCTGAGTCCGCACGTCTTACTTATATATAATATATATATATACCCATTTAAGCTGTGCTGGCTGCAACTTACAAAACACAACCGAGACCATTATATTCGTGCAGACTCGTCGTTGTCTTGGCGCGCGGTTTTGCATAAAAAAAAAAATAAAAACTTCAGCAGCAGCAGCTCCAGTATCCGTCCGATACGTTCGTTTCTCTGTGCCGTGCAGTGTGCTGCAGTGTCGCAGCCGAGAGAAAGAGAGACAGACAGTCGAAGAAAGAGACAGATATACAGAAGAACGAGACACGGTCGATGTGTGTGCAGCAGTGTTGGTGCAGCAGCAGCAGCAGCAGCAGCAGCAGCAGCAATATATATACATAATATATTTGTTGCACGTAAACTCCACCACAAGCATATAGTTGTTGTATAGCGTAGCCAGCTATCTAGTAGCGCATTTTAACACACCGTCAGCTGACGACTCGCATACATGATTCCGTCCTTACAACGGCAGCAGCAACAAAACACTAAACTGCTCGAACACTGTCGTCGTCGTCGTCGCCGTCTAGATTTTCTGCGACTTCTCTAGCTGAGGCAGCGAAGAGAAGAGAAAGAAGAAGCCCTTTTCTATCTCTCGTGTTTCCCGTGTTGTGTACAACATTGTATCTCTGCATGTGTGATCGACCTCTTTCGTCATCGTCGCCGTACGAGAATCGTCGTCAGCAGCAGCAGCAGCAGCAGCCGCCGAGACGGCCACCATCTTCATAGCAGATTTTTCATTTCGCCTCTCTACGAGCGGAGGTTTATCATTTAGCCAATCACCATTTGCGACTTCATCGTCAGAGTCATGGGTAATTGTCTGAGCTGCATCGGGGCCGGATCCCAGGACAACGCCAATCTGCTCAGCAACAGTTCCGATCCTGCGCTGGGCATCGGTGCGTCCCAGGACATACTCAGACAGCCGAGTATGCCCTATAGCGTAAGTGTTATTGGACTTGACAGCGAGGAACATGTTCGTATCAGCCTTTATTTACTTTGTTTTTTATTTTTTATTTTTTTATTGTTTTTTTTTCTGTGCGTTTTTTTGACATTGTTATCTCGCTGGCGAGGGTTTTTTATTTTTTAATTTTTCACGCTTGGCGACTCGCGTGTGTGCATACGCGAGTCTTTCTCTTGTGCCTCGCTCGCTCTTTGCGCGGAAAATTTGTGTTTGTTTTGTGTCCGACATCTGCGTATAGGCCAGACTCATGGAAGAGAGTGAACGGTTTCTTTTTTCTGTCTCTCTCCCCCCCACCCCCGTTCTCCTATATACATATACCCCTTCTCTTTCCAGACTTTGCTTTTTCAATTCATCGCCTTTTTTTTCGATCAATTAATACTCGGTGCTTCGATCGATTTAATTTAGCTTGTGAGACAATTTATTTTTTTGTTGTGATTTTTACGACGCGATGCTTATCAAATCCAGAGCTAGTTTTTTTTTTATGCAATACAAAAAATGATATCAGATAGACGCTTTTATGAAATACTCAAGATTATGAACCTGTGTGGAATTTTATAATACTTATCAATTAAGCGAATTTATTATTAATTTACTTATATTCCTCCAGGAAATGGCCAGTAATTATTATCCACCATCTGCTGTTCGAGATAGATACTTACACCAACAATCGACTGAAATGAATTCAAATCAAGGTATTGGAATAGGATTCGGCTTGGGTGGAAGCAATGGACCAATTATCAATGACGAGGAGCAACAAGTAAAATTAGCTAAGCGCCTTGGACTGATTCAACATCTCCCAACGAGGAAATTCGACGGGAACAAGAAGGCAGAATGTGTTATTTGCATGATGGAGTTGACAACTGGAGAAGAAGAGCGTTACTTGCCATGCATGCATACTTACCATGCTAGCTGCATTGATGATTGGCTTCTCAGATCGTTGACCTGTCCTACCTGCATGGAACCTGTAGATTCAGCGCTGATAAACTCCTATCATCCAACCTCATAAAACATGCAAACAACATTTATCAAGTAACACAGAGTTTTTCAAATTATCATTGTAATAATTGAGAATCACTTTCAAATTAACAATTGTGGCATGCTGCATTTGTAGCTACCAACATTTTATGCCTACGAAAAAACACTGTGCATATGACAAACAACTCGCCGCCATTGAAGACATTAAATTGATTAGTAATATTGTGAAAATTAAAATTACTTGTGATCAGTGCATTGTTTACTAAAAAAAATACAATTTTATTACAGTCAAAAGTTACTGTTTGACTGAAAAATTTTGATTTGGGTGTGTCTTAATAATTAAGATTTTAAATCAAGAGATTTGGTTTTTGTTACTGTTATATTTATAATAGAAACTTTGCGATAAAACTATGGCATAGGTTTTTAAAAACAAAAATTTGAAAAAAATGACTAATACACTTTTACTGAATTTTAATTAAAAAAAGAAAAAGTCTGCACAAAATAAGAATTAAAAAATGCAAAAAATTATGGGTTGTAGTTAAATGTAAAAACAAAATAAGTCTATCGAATGGATACTTATAAAAGTCGAATGATGTGATGAAAATTACCTAAATTAAAAAATTGTAAATTTGTTATAATCAATATTTCCTAGAAATATAACTCATATCGAAAAACTTTTATAATTCATACTTTTTTGGCTTTAACGCGTTGATGAAAGTGTAATTTTTCATTGACGATGTAGTGAACAAATATGAATAATGATTTTAGTCCCTACTACTTTAACTAGCATTAAACTTTGTTATTTTTAATTAATTAAGTGTATTAATGGGTAAATAAGCAGACATGAAAAGTTTTATTTGAGTTTTTATCATTTATGTAAAAAAATCTTGTTGAGAAGTAAAGAGTGAAATGTTATTTTATTTGAAATCACTAACTTGTATAAATAATGCAGAAATAATTATTTATAGAAAGCATGTATGAAACGCAATGGGAAATAATATAAGGCCCAGATCATGCATAGTCAGTTAGAAACTAATGATGTTAATACTTATAGGTGCATAGCAAAGCTTCATCTGTGACCAATTGAAAAGTGTTTGAAATCGTAACATTGAATGTTACTTTAAATCATACAAATACATTAGAACCTTTTACCTGAAAAAAATTATGATGATTTTATCATATGATATTATAAATAGTTGAAACATTTCGCAATCGTTTGATTTTTTTTTTTTTTGACGGAAAAAACATGCACATGCTTTATATATCGATTTAATAAATAAAAAAACGAGTGTGTCTAAGTGAGCGAATGAGTGTATAGAAACTAAGGTTTTTTCAAGAATACAATACTTCTTTTTAATGATGTATGAGAAGAATGGAGCTGTGACATAGTAAATAATTTACTGAAACATATATAAATACGCAGTTAGTAAGTTATGTAAAAAAATATATAAATATATCTATATATGTAGTAATTCATGTTTTTATCATTGACATGTCATTTTCTCTTTTCCACATTTTTATTGATTTAATGATTTAAGCAGGAAAATGAGCCAACACTGTTAATTGATGAAAAATTGGCGAATGATAATGAACGATCTGATGCAGTTTATTCGATAACGATTCATGACAGCCGATCTGCAAAACAAATCGCTAAAAGTAAGGGATTATTTTCGCCAAAACAAATGTTAAAAGACTTCCAAACACTCGATCTCTCTCGCTAATAGTCACGCTCCAAAGAAAATCTTGAGCATCTCTTTCTCTGCTTGCGGTTTTGCAGCCCTCGCGTCGTCGTCTTCGCCTGGCGCGCGACAGTCCATAATACAGCTGCGACGAGTCTGGTTTCCAAATGGGTGAAAATAGCCCCTAAAAGAAAAGAGGAAGAGAAAAGCTCGAAACGCTCGGCGCGCGTCTGGCCGTGCCAGACAGGGCCAGCGCACGATCGTGAAACAACACAACGCATTTTTCACGCTCGATATTACCGCCGCTGCACGCGTGCATTGCCCGACGTCGGCACCAAAAAAAAAACGTGAATATGCACAGGTAAACATTTCTATTTTTTTAAATTGGTTCATGATTCGTGCAGATTTATTCGATTTTCGTGAATTACCTTGACTTGGATCGTTGAGTGGAAAATTTATAAATTGTTTTTTCCTTTTTTTACTCTATTGAGTCGCGCGGAAGTAATGATTTCTAGTATGAATCAATTTTACGTAAACTTTCGAATACATCACGGTTTTAAGAATACAATAAATGACTTTCTTTTATTACCTGCTTAGAATGAAAAATAACTTTCCACATAGATCAGACTCCATATAGATTTGCATTTATCAAGATTTTGTATCTATACTCACACTTGCCTTGAGAAATCGAACGTGTAAATCTTTATTGAAAATAATTTTTTTCTTCTTCTAAATAGAGTCCTCGAACGCGAACGTTACATTTTTCGAACCTTATTTGCGTACGGTCTAGAAAAACCCATTAATCGTAGGTGACTAAAACCGATCGATCGCACGAATCACAGCGTCAATATCCATTTGCGATTTTCCCTTCGAACTGTGAAATTTATAAGTTACATTTTTGAAGTCCAAAAAAAAAACGATTCGTTAATATACCATGAATCAACTATTTAGGAACAAATTTAGTTTCAAATGTTCATCAGCAATATACCTTTTTATCCAACGAAATTCGGTATCGGACAATAATTTTTTTTTTCATAGCTAATCTTTCAATCTTACTCGATTGTTGGTGTGTCTTAGCTTACTCTAATGTCATTTCATTTATTTACAATCAAAACAATCGATTGCCAATCGATAACGTAAATAAAATCAAACGTAAAATCCATCAATTACCGAGGAAAAACATAAAAAATTGTATTACCGGAAACGCGTTCCTTTTCCAATAATTTTTCGAACCCAACGAATAAACGATCTTGCGGTACAGAAAACTCAAGAGACGGGTGGGTATGTGCGTGCGAGCAAAAGACGTATAGGCAAGTTCGGAGTTCCGAGAGAGCGCGAATGCGAGAGAAGAGATCTTATACATATATTTGAAACGACTGAAGAAGAAGAAGAAGCAAGAAAGAGAGAGAGAAAGAAGAACAAATAAAAAAGAATACATGCATGCAACAGCACACACACACACAAGAGCAGGGACTTATCTTCTCCTCTTCGTCTCTCCTTCTGTCTCTCTCTCTCTCTCTCTCATTCTTCGTCTTTTGCGCGCTGCTGACTTTTCTCTGTGTTTGTGTGTTTTATATGTGTACATGAGTGTTGTCCGCGCTCCGAACAGTGCGAGCCGTCCGGTGCCGCCGCCACACAGCGCACGGCACATAATATCCGTGCCGCCGCCGCCGCCGTCGCCGTCGCCGACTCGTGTTGTGCTGCTGCAGTTCAGCCAGTGCTCGACCGAGCGTCGCTCGAGAGGCAAGTTGTTCACTCTCTCGCTGCAGCAACCACAGCAGTGCCTATCTATATACAACATACATATACAATCTCGTAGTGTTCGGAGTCGCCTTCCTCTTTCTCTCTCGAGTATACATATACGTATTTTGCGAGCTTTCGGATAACCTCAAACTATCTCTGCGAATTCTCTCCCTCTCTGCTCTCGTCGTTGCCTTATTACAAAAAAAAAAAAACGTCCATACACAAGATTACGATCGACTGATTCGTATGAAATGAAAAATTCGCGATCAGTGCAAGTGCGTTTGTGCCTTTGAACTCTGTGCCTGCCTGCGTCGTCGTATAGTCGTGTTATTATTGTGTACCACTGCAGAGATAGCTGTGTTGTATAGCACAGACGAATCTTCGTACAGTAGTATATATAGTGCTGCTGCCGATCGTGCGCTGTCTACCACGGAATAATATAACGCACAAGTTATATATACTATTGCTGCTACTGCTGCTGGTGTATAGTTTTTTTTTTATTTCGCTGCAGCCGAGCGAGCGTAGGCGTTTTGTGATATATACACACGTATATAGCAGAGCGCAAGGGATATTTTTATCAGTGCATGTGTGTACGCGACACGCGCGACGAAAAGTTTCGATGAAAAATGACCTAAGAGACGATGCTTCGCCGGTCTTTCACACTGGATATGGGGCGAGGGCTTAGAAAAGCCTGCAGGTGAAGGAGGAGCAAAAAAAAAAAAACGGAGCAGACGGCCTACGGAATATACGCGTACGATTTATGCGTCAATCGCTATACGCGTAATACTATCACGGATCACGAACGTTTAGGATTATTGTACCATTATTCGCGACGAAATAAGTGCAGTTATGAAGCGACGAAGAGACGGCTCGGCGGCGACAGGCCCGTGGATGCTGTCGCTGCTACTCCTGGTGTGTTGTCAAGCGACTTTGGCCAACGCCGGTGCCTTGTACAATCAGTGCCCGCTCGAGTGCTCCTGCCTCGGCAACAACGTCATGTGCAAGGATCTGCTACTGGTCGGCGCGCCCGATGGCCTGCCACCCTGGACGGTGCAACTGTGAGTATAAGTACATGTATATTATACGGTTTGCGTGCAGTTCGACGTGTAGATCTAAAAATTAGCGGCGCACTCGATGGATGAATTCGCACGTAATATATGTTTACATTTGTTCTCTCCCTCGATCGCGATGCAACTCTAGGCTCGCATCGCAGATATTATTATTTCTGTTCCACAATCGAACGAGTCGTCTTCTTTCTCGGGACTAGCTGCGTATACCGATAACTATAATATGAAGCACGCATGGAGTAATATCTTGACTTATGGGTATTGTAATGAATCTTTTTATTGCTTTATCTCGCTGATACTTTTAGCCTAGGCTTCATTCATCTCTCTCTGTGCATTTGCATTCATCCATCGAGTGCAGAGCAGCGTGTGTAGCCGTGTTGGTATCTATATTATAATGATAAAGTATTGAGATGCTTTAAAAATATTATTTGGAGCGCAATAAAAAATTTCGACTAAGATGCCCCAAGTCTCGGTCGAGCAGACATCAATAAAAAAAAATCTTGATAACACCTGGGTATTTTGTAACATAAATAACACACGTGTGGACGCGCGCGCAGACACAGTAGCTTTAAAATCAACAAGTGTTCCATTCAAATACCCATAATGTCATTATCATAGATAAGCTGCCGCCCGCGCCGACGACACGATTGGCGCCGTTTTTTCAAGCTCTCTTCGTAGAAACGACACAAAAATAGACTGAAGAAAAAATGAATTTGGCGACGCGCAAGGTGGTTTTTTTTTCCGTAAATAGCTCTTTTTGTATTCTAATACACATTACACATGTATAATGAGAGCGCGGCGACGATGAAACAAGTGTTCCTCTTCTTCTTCGATGTGCGTGCGTATATATTTACACGGGGGGGCTCTATATATTCGTACATAGGTGTGTGTATGTGTGTACGGTAAACCGCGGCACGCACATAACGAGAGAGAGAGAGAGAAAGAACTCGTTTTCTGTGTCTTTACTCGCGGAGAGGATAGGATGGAGTAAAATGAATGAGAGAAAAAGGTAGAAGACAGCCGATAGTCTCTTAAGGTAAAATACAGCTGATTTTGTTATAAGCCTTCGCGTGTGCTTATGCCTATATGTATGCTCACGAGCAAGTTGTGTGCCCGGTTGAAATAAAAAGAGTCGTCGTCGTCGCGGTGTGTACACATACATGCGTATTTAGTTACAATATTTACTTAACTTGGCGCGTTTATATATATATATATATGTATACGATTTTTTACTCGATGATCCCGTGCAGTGCGAGAGCGGCAAGTCGCTCTAGAATAAATAAAGTTACATACACAAGTTTAGTACGACTCTTCGCTTCGACGAGCGCGCGAGGAAACGAGCGATACACAAGTTTTTTTTTCTTCATTTTTGTCTTGAAAAAAAAAAGTACATACACTTAAACACACGCATACATACGAGGGATGCGAGAACGGAAACGTGCGCTGCTCTCTTCTATGTTATATGCTCGTTGCGAAAAATCGAAAATGTGCAGATCGCGCGAGTTCGCACGCTTTTTTACACTTGCTACAATATCATATTGGCGGTTTCGTTCGCCGTCGTCATCGTCGTCGTCGTCGTCGTCTAAGATAAGAAAAATCTACAGTATGTATAATGTGTGTGTGTGAGTATACCCGGTTACAGGAAACTCCGAATGCATCATATAAATATACGTTGATGCACTTGCAGAATAAGAGAGAGAGAAAGAAACTTTATACGTACACATGTTGCTTGCGCACTCAAAAAAAAAGTAGAAGAAGATACGCGTCGTCGTCTTTCGGCGCGGACAAAATCTCCCGTTCAAATCGTACGAACTTCGCGAAGTGTGTGACACACACACACGGCAGTACACCGTGTAGTATAGTGTTCGAGAGGATTTGTGTGTGCAACTCCGAGTTTATTTTCGTTAAAATTCCTTCACACTCGCGCATTTATATATATCCTATATACGCTACATCCAGGACGTGGAAAGGTGCGAAAGAAACGAGAAAAAGAGTAAGAAAGCGAGAGAGTCATAATCCTGGCGAAGAATCGCGAAAAAGGGATCGTATAGTAGTACTGCTGTGTACCTGGGCTCGAATTATTCTACTACCCACTCGCAGCACACACACACGCGTCTCTGGAGCTCGTTCGCTCGTCGTCGCTGTCCGAAAAAAAAAAGAAAGAAAGAAAGAGAGAAAAGGAAGGTGTTTGCGCGTATTTTCTTACGCGGCATTACTGTGTTTCTCTGTAGCAACAGTTTGTTTCATCCAACACATATACGCGCATATAGCTCCGCACACGGGCAACTATATAAGGTATTTTGTACTGCATCACAGCAGCATCAGCAAGAGAGGATTGAATATATATATATGTGTGTGTGTGTGTGTGTGTGTGTGTTGCTTGCTTGCTGCAACGTTTCCCTCATTCCCCTTTTTTGCGCTTGCAGCAGCAGCAGCTCTCGGCCTCATGAACACGATTGCCCATCTGTACTTCTTCACTCTCTTTCTCTCACTCTCTCTCTCTCTCTCTCCCTCTTATGTACAGCCGAGGCCCTTTTCTCTCTCTCTCTCTCTCTCTTGCAGCACACATACATACTGCCCAACCGAAGGGATTCCTCTCTTCGTTCTTCTTTCTTAGGCCGTTGCTGCTGATGCTCCTCTCTTTTGCTTTCTCGAGATATGCTGCTGCCGCTGCAGCTATTGTCACGGCCTTGCTCTCGTATTATCATTTATATCTTTCTGCCTTCTAGCTATTTTATTGACTGGTCTTGAGCCGAGGAAGAAAGAGAAGAGAAGAAGAAGTAAAGGAGGAAGATTTACAACAAAAAAAAAAGAATAATAAGGCTCAAGAGCACGAAACAAGTTACAATCTCAAATCATCGTCGGAGCTTCTGCCGATGACGATACGAGCGCGCGAGTTATATTTTCTGATTGTCCTATGCCGTTGTATTATTATTAGACATCGTCCGATGAATATCGTTCGTACTCTATAAATTTTCATTAAAAAAATATATATATAAAAAAAAAAATAAGAGCGAAAAAAAGCAAAAAAGCAAAAACGAAATTCTCGCGCGCAGCTCTCGTGCTTAGCCTGTTGTGCTACCGTCGTCCCTCGCGCTACTCATCTTCAACGCGTATATAATAATTTGAGAGTCTCTCACGACGACGGCACAAAGTGCGGACCCGGTCATTTTTCCAAGTGCGTTATACATCATATGAGTTTGAAATATCGCACCGAGGACAGATTACGTTTGACGTCGATCCCGCATGATATTCGCCTCCTCCTCTTCTTCCTTTTTTTAATCATTTTTTTTTCTAAGCGCAAATACGGATTTATTGCAGTCGCGTACGCGAGCGAGCATCGTTAAGTATAACAAGTAGACCCGCTTATACTCTACGCGTCTCTCTAATTCGTATATATACCCGTTGCGCAAATATCCCAAATTTATATTTATCGATTCTTTTATAAACACATATACATACCAGACAGCAAAGTGACAAACACATGTCACACGCGCGTTCACGCGCTCGCGCGAGCCCCTGCGATCAAAAGTCGATTTTTCTCTCCCCGAAACACACGCACGCACGCACACACACACGCGGGCTCGTCAATAAAATCGTGTAATACATGCTCGTCCCGAGCAAACGACCGACGAGCCGTGTAGAATATATATACGTATAAAGCCGCGGCGATCTATTTTAAATTCGTTTACGCGTTTCTCTATAGTCGTGCGTTAGATATATACATATTACATACGCGTGTGTAAAGTAAAAAGCACACATCGGCCGCTGGTTTGGTCGGCCGCGGCTGCGGTTCTGTGCCTCGCGCACATATTACAGACAATTTTTATTATACCTATATATATATACAGACGCGCGCGGGACGACGACGAGGTGTTACGTACTACAAGCCTTAATTAGCATATCATCGAGAATTCGAAAATCTCTTTCGCAGCTCATCGGCAGGCGAGACTACCGTATATTATATATTTATTGCGCGATATTATACGTACGATATATGCTAAATTTTTCTCTCTTCTTTTTTTTTTACGAGCGTACCTTATTATCTTAATGAAGCTCGCGAGAGTTGTGTTAATAATTATCCACGTGTTTTGTGTCAGCCGATATAATCAGTTCATTTCTCTCTGATTTTTTTCTTTTTTAATAAGTCGAGACATGACTTTCGGTCGGTCAGTCTTTAAAAAACGTGATTTTTCACGAGAAAATTGCTGCGTAAAGTAACAACACACATGTAAGAGAGAGGACCGACGACGCCGACACAAAAACGTGCCGCTGCTCCAAAAGTCATAGGCAAAATTCTAATAGGTGTCTTGACTTTGCGTTTTTTTTTTGTTAATAGCGTTTGTCGAGAAACCCAAGTATAATATATTTTACATTGTGCTTCGTGCCGCTTAATGAAAAGAGAGCGAGAGGAAGAGAGTCAGCATACGTATATAATAAGGCGTCGGAGAGTCCGAGAATTGGCCGAGCCTTATAACACAATGAAAATCATGTCAATGAGAGAGCCCAATAGAGCCCAAGAGAGAGAGAGAGAGAGAGGAGAGTGGCAGACCAGGGTGCGTACACATGTACCCACGATAAATAACTCGAATGAATAAAAAAAAAAAAGAGGAGAGAGAGGAGAACAACGACGACAACGACGAGGACGTCACTTGTATGCTGTGCTGCTCCTCCCTAATATACAGATATAGAGAGAGAGCACAAACATGCATTATGAATTCGTTTTCGCAGAGAGACTCTTCGGAGAGCTCTGCAGTCCTCTATAAAAATTGACAATCATATTTCGTTCCACGCGTGTGAAAAGAGAAAGAGAGAGAGAGAGAGAGTGTTGCGAGGGTATTTATATTATACCAGCACGAATCACAATTGAGCGACTTAATAACGTTCGATATGCGCGCGGCTTGGGTTTTGCTTCTTTCTTTTTTCCCTCTCTCTCTTATTCTTAATCTTCCTTCGTTCTCGTCATCCTTTCGCATACGTACGCCTGTATA